AAACATTCTGTAGCCACCTGCACAGTCCCTGTGTGGTGTAGTGGTTAAGAGCGGTAGTCTCATAATCTGGGGAGCCGGGTTCGCTTCCCCGCTCCTCCACATGCAGCTGCTGGGTGACCTTGGGCTAGTCACACTTCTCTGAAGTCTCTCATCCTCACTCACCTCACAGAGTGTTTGTTGTGGGGGAGGAAGGGAAAGGAGAATATTAGCCGCTTTGAGACTCCTTCAGGTAGTGATAAAGCGGGATATCAAATCTAAACTCTTCTACTCTTCTTCTGTGGGGAATATACGGTTTCTTTAAATGGAGGTTTTTTGTTTTAGCAAAGTTTGGATAGCCATCTCTCATGGATGCTTTAGCTGAGATTGCTGCATTGCAGGAGGTTGGAATAGATGACCCTCCAGGTTCCTTCCAACTCTACAATTGCATGTTTCATAGTGTATTCTTCCCTCCTCACCACAATCCTTATTATGACTGCTCCCCCTGCAATTTAAGGGGTGGAGGAGAAAAGAAATGGATATAAAAGCAATGAGGTTAGGAAAGCAAAGTGTTAAAGTGAAAGAGTTGATTCCCAGAAAGTCGAGATGAACCACAGAGTTGGAAATGGGCAGAGCGATCTATAGAGGCCATAACATATTGGGGGATATTGTGGGGGAACTGTTCCATTGCATTCAAGATAATATGTCCCCCCCCCCCGAGCTCTGGTGGGAGATATGATAGATGAACAGGGAAAACATGTTCATGATGCCATGCAGTGAGGGAATGGAGCTATTCCATAGGGCAGCACAAGACACAGCACAAATAAGGATTTTATTTTATATGGCATCCCTGCTGGCCATTTATGATAATATGAAATACAGTAGAAAATGGGTCTGCTGCGACCCACAAGTACACATCCAATTTCAGTTTCTTATTTTTCCAGTCTTAAATTCAGTTCTTTACATTTCCACATCAGTTTCGTATTTTTTTAAAAAGTCCTCGTGAAAATTCACCAGCATTTTCATGTGGATTTCTTCTAATATACACACGTGTCTGTACTTTTGCCTAACACGCAATTTCCCCCAATATAAAGCAGTATGTTATTTTCACTAATATATGCTTTTTCATTCCCTTTACTCCAGCACGTGTGTTTTAGTACCCATTACTTGGCTGCAAAATGTGTAGAAATGCAAATTTCGGTCCGTGCGTTGTTTCAGAACGTGCAGCTTAGGCGCATTCACCTGAATGCAATTGGAATCAAATTTCTTCCCTCCCCCTAAAATTCTCCCCCATCCTTCAAATCGGTTTCTTAATTCACAGTCATTGCTCCACCATCAAGTTAACAGTTTTCAAAGTTTGTCTCAGTGAACCCTCCAAGTTGTGTTGGTTAGTTACCTGATCCTTCACCCTAAGGTCCCCGGGGTGGGTTGAAACATTAAAACATAGTATTTAAAACAGTTTAAAAGAAGCTTATAATCACAAATATAAGGTGGGTCCTAAAAAAGATACACCTCAAATGTCAAAAGCCGAGGTTGAGAGGTCTTCAGTGTTTGCTGGAAGCTGTACAATGAAGATGCCAGATTCGCCTTTGTGGGGAGGAAGTTTCACAGCCTAGGGGACACCACAGAGAAGGCCCTGTCCCAGACAGCCACCCCTTGAACCTCTGAGGGCAGAGGAACTAACAAGGGGGCCTCCTCTGCCGATCTCAGCACCTGAGAGGGTTTGCAGGAAAAGAGGTGGTCTTTTAGAGTGAGTTGTTTAGGGCTTTAAACACTAATGTGAGCACCTCGAATTGGGCCCAGAAATGAATGGGCAATCAGGAGTTTACAACAGGAGTTATGGGAGATCTCAATGGAACCCCAGCCAATAATCTGGCTGCTGCATTTTGTACCAATTGACGTTTCTGAGTAGTCTTCAAGGGCAGCCCCTTGCCTTCCAACAATCCAACCTGGAAGTTACTAGAGCAGGAATCCCCAACCTTCAGCCCTCCAGATGTTTTGGACTACAATTCCCATCATCCCTGACCACTGGTCCTGTTAGCTAGGGATCATGGGAGTTGTAGGCCAAAACATCTGGAGGGCCGCAGGTTGGGGATGCCTGTACTAGAGCATGGAGCACAGTGGCTAAGTCATCTCTGTCCAAAAGGGACCATAGGTGGCAAACCAGCTGGAGCTGTAAAAAGGCACTTGTTGCTACTGAGGCCACCTAAGGTGACAGTGCTGAGTCCAGGGACTCAGCTACATTAGTCAAAAAAGTTTTGAATTCATTAGAAACATGCAACACCGGATGGCGCCAGAGAGCAAAAATAATTTTATGTGATTTTCACATAGCGGTTTCTCCCCTTTTTGTTATAACAATTTACTTTCTGACTTATAGCGTTTCCCCCCCTGTGTGTAGATCCATCCCAGGAGCACCCCCAAGCTACAAACTTGCTCCTTCTAGGGGAGTGCAACCCCATCCAGAGCAGGCCGTTTCCCCACCTCATGGATGTGAGAACCCAGGACACGCAACACCTCTGTCTTTTCAGGATTCAGCTTCAGTTTCTTGACCCACATCCAATCCATCACTGCCTCTCCTAATTCAGATGAAACAGAGCTAGAGCTGGGTATTGCCTGCATATGGATGACACTTCACACCAAATCTCCTGATGACAGCGGCCATAGGCCACATACAGATTTTAAATAACATGGGGTTACAAGATGGACCCAGGACAACTCTCATGGTGCTGAACAGTATCCCCCCATGACTACTTTGGAAATGGTGATGGACATAGGAGAGGAATCGCTGAAGTACTGTGCCCCCCACCTTCCTGAGAATACCTCAGAAGGATACTGTGGTTAATGGTAATGAGAGCCACCAGAAGATCAAGAACAATCGGGGTCACAATTCCCCTATCTCTCTCCTGATAAATGCCATCAAAAAGGGGGACCAAGGCAGTTTCAGTGCCATGACTAGGCCTGAAGCCAGACTGGAATGAGAACAACTGAAAGCACCGGTACATAAGACATGAGAGATCTGTGATCCATTAGGGGTTGTTTTTTTTTTAACTTAAAAGAAGCTGTGAGTAACATCAACTTCATAGTATTATGCGGGGAGTTAACCCGTTACCTGACACCATTTTAAAAAATGAAATAAAAATAATCTAAGCTTCCTCCTTTCTTGCCACATGCTGCTGTTTGTTCTGGTCGAGAGAACATACATGTACTATAGCTCATCTGATTCTTTTCCTTGCGGGCAAGCGGAAGCATGGAGGGGACGTTTAAATCAGGGAAACGGCATAAGAAGAAAGGGTTAATCCTCCTCCACATGCAATATAGATAATCCATTCCTTGCCCTGCTGGCAGCTTTTAACTTTTAAAAATGAAGATGCTGATCTTCCAAGCTGTATCTATTGAAGTGTGACTCTGAGCCTCCTTGAATATTACCAAGAAATTACACTGATTCGGAGAGTTAATGCTCACTCTTACCTTTGGTTTAGGTTCTGGGAACCAGGATATGGAAAAAGAGGGGGAAGCAAGGACCTAGAGGGCTTCTCATGAGACCCATAGTGTTTCCTTTTTATTACCGAGGCAAACATGTAAAGGGTAAAGGGACCCCTGACCATTAGGTCCAGTCATGGCCGACTCTGGAGTTGCGGCGCTCATCTCACTTTATTGGCCGAGGGAGCCAGCGTACAGCTTCCGGGTCATGTGGCCAGCATGACTAAGCCGCTTCTGGCGAACCAGAGCAGTGCACGGAAACGCCGTTTACCTTTCCGCCGGAGCGGTACCTATTTATCTACTTGCACTTTGACGTGCTTCCGAACTGCTAGGTTGGCAGGAGCAGGGACCGAGCAACAGGAGCTCACCCCATCGTGGGGATTCGAACCGCTGACCTTCTGATCGGCAAGTCCTAGGCTCTGTGGTTTAACCCACAGCAAAAGGGCTAAATCAGTGATAGAGCACACATTTTGCATGCAGAAGGTCTCACGTTCAACTTTCAACATATTTAGTAGGTAGCAGAACCACGTGGAAAGACCGTTGCATGAGAGTTTGGAGAGCTTCTACCAATTCAGTAGATAAGAGGTGGGCAAGCTATGGCGAGATGTTGTTCGATGGCAGCTCTCATGATCCTTGACCATTAACCACATGGGCTCGGGCTGGTGAGAGTTGGACTCCCACAACATCTGGAGGGTCAGATTTGATACAAAGCATCTCAAAACATTCATTTGGGGTTCATCCAGACTTCCTTTTGCACTGCGCTTTCTAGGCACTGGTCAGGTGGTGTCCTCTTCAAGGCCAAAATTCGGCAATCCCCAGCTCTCACCTTCCATGCTGCTAAATTCATTATGTCATAGCTGCAACGCCTTGTGGCACCACCCTTGGTTCCTCACCCAGTGTGGGAGAACCGGTTGTGCTGCCCTAAATCTGCCTCTGTTCGGACCCCCCCCCCCCGTTTTACTACTGAATCAGAGCAAACGACAATTCGCAGAAAACCCAATTGCCATTTTCTCCGATTCAGTGGTAAAATGTGGGTTTTCCTGGGTAAAGTCCCAGGACAAACAGACAGCGACAAAACCTGCTCGGACATGGAGCTTTAAAGCCCAGACCTGGGCCTAGAAATGCAATGCAAAAGGAAGTCTAGATGAGCGCTAAGTAAGCTTTCGGTTTGTGGGTTCACACAGCAAAGGGGGGAAATAACAAAACCTCCCCAGAAGTTTGAAAATCAAGTTTTTGTTTTGCAGAATCTGTTTGAGTGCCTGGCAAAATCAAGTCACAACACAACTCACAGGTAGGCATACCTAATCCTAAGAACACTGAGGTTTGGTACATTTTGGAATGTAAATGGTAAGAACAGAAACTTTTGTCTTCTTTTGTCATTCTCTGTCTCTCCAGGAAAGCATGGGTCTCTCTTTGATAATTCTTGGCATAACTCCACGGATCATAGAATCATAGAACCGCAGAGTTGGAAGGGACCCTGAGGGCCATCTAGTCCAACCTCCTGCAATGCCAGGAATCACAGCTAAAGCATCCATGGCAGATGGTCATCCAACCTCTGCTGAAAAACTTCCAAGGAAGGAGACTCCACAACCTAGAAAGTTTTTTTCATCTGTTTAGTCAGAATCTCCCTTCTTGGAACTCGGAGCCGTTGATTCGGGTCCTACCCCCGTGTGTTCTGAGTTCACATGATTCAGGGGGACTAATGCATAAGCGGGTCCCTCGCTGGCTTTGGGAGCAGGTGTACAGTGCCCGTTCTTCATATGAGAGGTAGGAACGGTGGAGGAGGTTTCTGTTCGGTAAATCTGAGCTTGCTTTTCGCAAAGGCCAAATTTGCTCAGCAAAATGAAAAAATCCTTGCGGAAATTCTTGGTGAAGATAGCGTACAGGAACGGGTTGGCGCAGGAGTTGATGGGGTAGAACAAAACCAGGAGGATCTTTGAGTTGGAGACGGTGATGAGAGGGTACTTGAGCGATGCCGATATGGCGAAAAAGGAGATGGGCGCCATGCAGAGGAAGTCCGTGAAGATCAGGACCGCCATGCGCTTGGCAATTTTGGTGTCGCTGTTGGATGAGATGATGTTGGGGTTCCTCACGGTGATGTAGATGCTGATGTAGCAAGTGCAGATGATGAGAAAGGCCAGGATGTTCAGTACCAGCAGAAACATGATATATGCCTGGGCAAGGCGAGTTTCTACATCCATGGGTAGGCAGATGCTAACTTTCATGTAGCTGCTGACTTGGAAAATGGGGAGGATGGCCACAGTGAAGGCAAAAGCCCATCCGACAAGCATGAAGGCCACAGCGTGTCGGAAGCGGACCTTGCGTTCCAGCTCCATGGCATAGGTTATGGTGTGCCACCGTTCCAACGTAATGAAGGTCAGGGTGTAGACGGAAAGTTCGCTGGCAAAGACGGTGAAGAAGCCGGCTGCCTTGCAACCCGCACCCGTTTGCCAGTCGATGGCATAGTTGTAATACTGGCTTTTGGTCTGTATGTCTTTGACGGCGATCAGCAACAGGTAGATGCCGGTGCACAGGTCTGCAAAGGCAAGGTTGCACATGAGGAACCGAGGGACAGTGAGCTTGGACTGGCTGTTGACTATGATCAGGAACACAACCAGGTTCCCCATGACGGCGAGGATGCTGATGAACCATATGAGAACCCGGAGGACGTTGTAGCCCATGATGTCTTCACAGGGGTTGAAGGCATCCGGCTCAGGGAAGCAAATGACATCAACCTCTTCCTTGCACAGGCTTTGGTAGTAATCGTGCTCGTCGTCCAGGTCAAAATCTGTCCCGTCGATATCTAGCAGAAGAGATAACTTATTGCATATGGGGTGGAAAAAAGAACTGGAAGGGAAGAAAAAGAATATGGTCACAAACCTCAAAAACGCAGCAAGAAAGAAAGAATTGCACATGCGCAGGTACACACACAAACACAAATGCAAACTATTGTATTTTTCCTTGTTAACTGTGGCACAACCCTTTGCAGTTCTCTTTTTAATGACAAATTACATAGGGCTTTATATCTAAACCTCTGGGTCCAGGTCAAGGTGCAGATACTTACCTTTAGAAACCTAAATGACTTGGGGTTCAAATATATGAAGGGGCACATACTCCCAGCTCAACTTACTTCTTTAAGATCATCTGCCCTATCCATGTTCATTGTCCATTGGCAGCACAGAGATAACCTACAAGGCAGAGGGCTTTCTCACCAATGGTACCCCTACATATGGGAAGCTCCCCCCACAAGAACTTGGTCCGTTCCCACTAATTATATGCATGCTCACGTGCAATTTTGCACAATGCAGACATTTTTGCAAAGCAATTTCCCCCAATATAATGTAAGTTATTTTATATATCTTTTGTGCTTTTTAAAAAATTAACATATGCACTTATATGGACAGTTTAACAGCCTCACCCCAATATATGCATTTGATAATAATAATAATAATAATAATAATAATAATAATAATAATAATAATAATAATTTATTATTTATACCCTGCCCATCTGGCTCCCACTCTGGGAGGCTTCCAACTGAATATTAAAAACAATACTGCATCAAACATTAAAAAGCAAAATACAAACCATACAATAGCCTTACAAAACAGTAAAAGTAAAAACAAAGCCAAAAGCAATTATACTAAAATAAAACTAATCCCCACTCCAACTCAACATTTGTCCCACCCCAAACAAAAATGAAATAAAATAAAAATATATAAATAAAAACCACCGTAAGTAAAAGTAAAAACGCTTTTAAAACATTTAAAAATATGTAAAACCATTTTTAACATTTGCCGCAGCAGGAGCAACAGCAGCAGCATCAGTGTCCTGAGGCCTCACTGGAGCCTCTTAAAGCAGTGGTGGTGAGTGTGGGCCCCACCCCCTAGGAATTGGCTTGCAGGGGGGAGCGGCCTTCCTCAACACCCACAATGCCCAGCGGCAGAACTGCTCTGCAAAATTCAGAGAAGTCTCAATTTTAGCTATGTTTCAGTTCGCATATTATTTCAGGAAGTATGAATTAAGTAGGCTCCCCTTCAAATGCGAAATGAACCGAATTCCCTCTCTCCCACCTCCCCAATCCTGAAACAGCCCCGGCTTCATCTCTCGTCTTCCTCATGTGTGTGGGAGGGAAGGCTATCTTGAACACAAAAGCTGACTTGAAGTCTCTGCCGCTGAACTCAATCCCATGAAAGAATCATCACCTTTCTTTGATTTCTTTGATCAAAGCTTAGGAGGAAACAACAGCAACTCTCTGGATGACTGACTGCAGAGGAGGTTTGGAAACCGACATTACATTTCTATGCCAAGTGGAGTGGTGTGTGTGTGTGTGTGTGTGTGTGTGTGTGGAGAGATAAAACAGCCACCCAGCCCACACTCCCCTCTGTGTGGGAGAGAGGTCGTTGGCGAGAAGAAAGTCTTTCTCTTTCTGAATGTTGAGGAAGAAAGCCTTGCTTGAGGTGGAAATCTTTTACATGGGGAAACGCAGAATCCTGAAAGGGCAGCACCTTAATGAAGTTTCAGCGCAACCCTATTCTGATTCCACCAGCCTTTCTCTCTCCTGTTCACTCTTGTTATATCTCCCTCGCATACCTCCACAGAAATTACCAGGAGAATCGTCTCGGTCTTGAAATAAACGCAGAGCAAATACTCAGGATATTTCTAGCAATATGATGTGCATTATTTATCGCCTTTGGCCAGCTTTGGAGACTGGGGCATGGATCTGTGTTATACGTTCGACCTCCACAGTCAGAGGCAGCAGTGGTTCTGAATACCAGTTGCAGGAAGCCGCAGGAGGGCAGAGCGCTGTTGCATTCAGATACCGCTTGTGGGTCACCCATGGCTGCCATGAGAAGAGGGTAGAATCAAAGAATTGTAGAGTGGGAAAAGGTCCCAGGGACCACCTAATTCAACCCCCCGCAATGCGGGAATCTCAACTAAAGCATCCATGACAGACGGCCAGCCAACCTCTGCTTAAAAACCTCTAATGAAGGGCAGATCAACACCTTCCAAGGGAGTCAGTTTCAGTGTTGAACAGCTCTTGTGAATCGAGGACCTGCCACCCGCATAAGACACAAAGACACATTATTTTAGGTTAATGGGCAAAATAAGGCCACAACTTTATTGGTTACAGCATTTGAGTAGTATTGGCTTAGGCATTGGATAAAAACAGCAATACATGACTCCACCCCGCTCAGCAGGGAGTCATTTCAGGGTTAACAACCAGTGGGAGGAGCTTGTTGATGCAAATACAACTGGAAGCTTCCCCATGATGTTACCGGGGGTCATGCCATGGCCCTAGCCACCAGCAGGGCATCGGACAGGATCTATGACCGCCGGATACCTTTAACGGAATACCCAAAAGAGGAGGGGTAGATGATGGCCCATACCCAATCCTCCAACACAGCACACCCATTCCAATGCCTAACCGCCAATACCAGAAAGATGTGATGAGTTGCTACGAGGTAGGCGAAGAAACCAAGAGACTGGTGCCAATTTGCCAAATGGATAAAAAAGTCCTACGAGGCCCCTTGGGCAACCAGGGCAACCAACCGAAGTTCATAGCAAGGTCAATACGCAAAGGAAGCTGACCTAAAAGGGAGGAAGGGCGGGAAATCCAATGTAAGCAGGAACCGACTGGGAACAGAGCGCTGCCGCGGCTGCTTAAATGCAGCTAACCCCGCCCACCAGCCGGCCCTATTGGCCGGCTGAAAGGCTTGACTGCGGCAGCAAAGGCAATCAGAAGCAGGGAGCCAAATATGCCTCCTTGCTGCTGCGGGAAGCCGCTCCCATTCACAACTCCTCCCCTCTGGGAGGAGGAGAGGCCTTACTGTAGTTTGTGCTGATATTAAGCTGGAATCTCCTTTCTTGTAGCTTGAAGCCACTGGTTTGGGTCCTAGCCCCTGGAACTTGTGACAGCCCTTGAGATATTTGAAGATTACTATCTTATCTACTCTCAGTGTCCTGTTATCCAGGCTGAACTTACTCAGCTCTCTCAACCGTTCTTCATAAGGCGTGGTTTCCAGACCCTTGATCACCTTGGTTGCCCTCCTCTACACGTGCTCCAGCTTCTTAAATTGTGGTGCCCAGAACTCTATCCTTATGTTCTTAAATAGTCACCTGGGGTGACATCTCAGTAGCAGGGAGCAAAAAGCTCCTAGCCACTCTTAGCCGTGCTTGATCAAGCTTTGGGGCCAATTCATATTTCCTTTTCTTCTATCTGCCTCCCATGTTACAGCAGAGGGCTTTAAGCTTTCCAGCCAGGCCTCTACCATGGCACATGTATGTGTTTGTGGAAGAGCCCTTCTGAGCTGCCCTAACCATCCACCTGAATCTAAGGGAACAAGGGAGGCAGAGGTGCCTTTATTTGACCTGCACCAGAACCAGGGGCGACCCCCAAACCAGCTAGGGAGACAGCTTGCTGTAGTTCTTAGAACCTCTGCAGGCAGTGAACATGGCTGTTGTTCCTGGTGCCTGGTGACTTATTGTAACAACTTCACGGTGAGTCCTGGCACCTATTTTTCTTGGGGAAAAGTTCTGTACACACACATCTGTCTGTCTATTCTAGACACTAATTGAATGAAAGAACCAGTGGCCATTTGCTTGTGGATCACTTATCAACTGTAAATACAGTTCCAAAGCTGCAATCTTACACACTTACCTGGGAGCAAGTCACATTGGACTCAATTGGGCTTACTTCTGAATAGTCATGCATGGCATCATAGCTGTCAACTTTTCCCTTTTCTTGCGAGGAATCCTATTCGGAATAAGGGAATTTCCCTTTAAAAACGGGAAACCTTGACAGCTATGCACGGCATTGTGCTGTCAAGTACTTCTTAAGCGAGGAGTACATACTCAGGATCACTTAAAGGAGATTGGTTGTGCCTTAAGTGCCAGGACATCCTGAGCATATGCACTCTTGGTCTGCAAATTTCGAACGTGAGGGGTGGACCAGGAGGGTCCTCATAAATAATAATAATAATGGATTTTGCAAAGCTGAAGCCAGCCCACCTATGCCGTGAAACACTGAACCGAGAAACAGTTAAATGCATAATCGGCAACACAAACCAACAGAGTTTGTGGGTTAATTAAATCAATCAGCGTGCAAATCTCAAAGAATACTTGAGAAAGATGGAGATAAATGAGGAGGACCCTTGATGCTCGAAGGCCCGGCGATACCCCACTGGTGGCAAATCATTTGTAGGCAAGGTTGATTTAAGAGGCTGAGGAGGCCCTGTGATTAGCATTGGTAAAGCTCCACGGGGGTCTTGCTAATGAATCTTTTCGAAAATCAGGGACGCAAATGCACGCTGTGGCTGTATCAATTTCATCGCGCCCACTCCTATCCTGTCCTATGGCTGCCCAAATGCCTATGGTCCTCTTCCCATCTGCCAAAGTGATGGAGAGCCTCCGGAAGCAGCCTTTTATGCAGTCGGTTCTCTTGTGAAGGCAAGTCTTGCAGACTCGATGATGGTTTCTACTTTGCCAGTGTCTGTCATTTACATTACTACATGGGAGGACCAAGCAGGCATTCAGATAGAGTGAATAACATCAGTCCCCCCCAAAGGCAAACAATGTGTATCTGAATGCACCACCCAAAGCCTGCTTCTTTTTGGCAAGCTGCAAAAAAGGAAAGATTTCTCTCGCTTCTGTTGGCTGGATTCAAAATGGCCTAACAACTTCCTTGGGCTCTCGCCTGAGCAGGCAACGGTCTGTCTGGTAGCGAGCAGGGATGGATGAATATGCCAATTTTGGTTTATCTCAGATTCTCATTTTCCCAGTCTTAGGCTCAGCACTCTACATTTCCACACCAGTTTGTACAGGTTTTGTTTTTTAATGTCCCATGACAATTTGTCAGCGTTTTTACATTTTTGTACGCTGCTATAATGCAACTGTATACATTCAGAGCCGTAGCTGGGTGATCTTGCGCCCCTGGCAGAACCGTCCAGATTACACCCCCCAGCCGCAGACAAATTAGCTCTCCTTCCCCCTCTCCTCCAACCTCCCCCCTCCACCCACTCAATTCACCCTCTATTAAAAACCTTTTCTTATGAGGCAATAATTGATATTTTTATTTACAGACATATTTATGTACATGTTTTTAGCTAATTTTGCACCCCCTTCTTGCCTGCGCCCCTCGCAGGGGCCCACTTCACCCCGCCTAGCTATGGCCCTGTATACATTATTTCCACCAGGCTATCCAGATTTATGCAAGCTTCACATGACAAATGCTTTTTGTACTTTCCTGGAGAGCTGCACTGCAGGAACGAGTGTGGTTTTTGAAGGATATCTGATTTATGATATCCATCTCCAAATATCTCAATGGCTATCCCATGGAAGAGGGAACAAGCTTGTTTTCTCCTGCTCTGGAGGGTAGGGCTTGCCAATGGCTTCAAGTTATGAGAAAGGAGATTCTGACTCAACCTCAGGAAGAACTTTCTGACAGTAAGAGCTATTCAACAATGAAACAGACTCCCATGAGAGGTGATGGACTCGCCTTCCTTGGAGGTTTTCAAGCAGAGATTGGATGGCCATCTGTCATGGCTGCTTTAGGAGATTCTTGCCTTGCAGTTTCCCTTCCAACTCTATGATTCCATGATTTTACGATTCTGCGATTTTTAAGTGGTGTGCAAAAGCTCTCCAACCTCCTCTGCCTTATAAGAAAAACGCCTTAGCAAGAAGGAAGAGGAGTTGCCTTGCACCGGTGGCGAACTAGCAACCCTCCATGCTGTTGAATTCCCACTCTCATTGGTGAATCCTTTAAAACAGGAGTGGGAAACTGTGGCCCAACATACCTTGCTGGGCTACAGCTCCCATCATCTTTGACCACTGGCTATGCTGGCTGGGGCTGATAGGAGCTGGAGTCCAACAAATATATGGAGGGGTTACAGGCTTCCCAATTTCTGGTCTAATGGGTAGTCCTTACATCTGGAAAGGTGACCATGTTGGGAAACTGTACGTGTAGTTACTCACACAGAGTCAATTAAGGTTTGGCAGACAGCCAGAAGGCAATCTGAAGGAGTAAGTCTGCCCAGTGATAACAGAGACATGGAGACCGCTCCCTGATTGGTCAAGCTCTCTCAAAGGAGTGATAATTAATGGCCTACTAACTGTTAGTTCAGTGTTCAGAGGTCCAGAGTTCTATGTCAGTGTAGGAGTTGAGAGAGAGAGCTAGCAAAAGATCCGTGTTCTGTTCCTGTAAATAGTCCACTGTATATAATAAACACCTAACTGCAAGTTCCTGGTTCCTGCTTCGTCTATCCTGTCTGCAGCCAAGTCGCCAATTGCTTCCATGGATTCTGCGTTTACTCTGCTAGGTCTGGCTAAGGTCCTGCAACTAGTCAGAAAGTTGCGAAACCAATAGGTTTTACCAATAGACTATACTTGACCATTGGTATCTCCTGCTCAAAGCATGAGAGCTGGGAGGTCTGTGAGCCTGCGTGTTTTTGAAACTGCTTGAGAAACTTTAAAGGTACTACACCAGTCTCTCTGGCATAGCAGGACAGAGAAATGGCACGTGACAAACACCATCTAACTCAAGACAGACCCAGGCACTTACAAATAAATTCAGACTCTTAAATGCAAAGAATTGGGGCCACTCACTTTTGTTTCGTCCAGTTTGCAAATGCACAGCAGTGGCTTGGGTAGGTGAGGTTTGCCTCGATCAAGGAGCGGAACTTATCCAAAGGAGGTAGTTTCTTTAAGTTGTACGCAGATCTTGCTATCAGCTTGTTAATTTTCTCCAGTCCGATGCTGGGCAGCTGGCTGATCTTGGTCTCTGAAATATCCCTTTAAGAAGAAATGCGATTGCTTCATAATTCCAAACAAACCAATTCACTACTTACATGGAATGCTGGAGACATTTTGAGAATCTCCTTCATTCACAACGTAAAATAAACTAGCAAGAAACACTAAAAAATAAGAACTAATAATATGATCTTGTGCAAGCTTCCTTGAGAGTAAGCCCTACTGAAGACGTGGGTCTTACTTGTAAGTAGGGACATCAGAAGGCATTATTTTTTATTGTGCCCTGTCACATGTAGCAGTGTTTCCATTCTGCTGCAGTTCATCTTCTGCCAAAACCCAGGTTACTTCTCTTGCTGTCCTCTGTGGTGACATTACCTAACTTAGGACATCAATTCTACCCCATTCATATCAATGTAAAGGGAACACAATGCAAACGGGACAAGAAATGTAATCAATATCATATTGCTTGTGGGCCAAAAGCCAAAAGCAACAGGGAATACTGGTCATATTCACTGAATTGATTTCCGTTTCAGACATGGGAATAAGCAAACATCAGCAATTTCTGTTCCCATTTCTGTTGGAGTTCTCCAACACCCCTATTTGTAGGTAAACTCTCCTGGGCTCAATACATAGTTTCTCATCTATATGCTCTGATCCTTGTGTTAAAATACTAAAATACTGCAGCTAAAGACTTGTACAGATACTTGAAGACATTGAGAAAAGCTCTCAGCTATGGTCTTCAGCAGCTAGCTATTTGCACCACCAGAACTCTGGATCATCAGAAGACCAGGCTGGCTAGTCCTTAGGATGGGAGTGGTTTCTGAACACACCTCTCCAGCCAAGCAGGCAAGAGGCTTTTCAAGGACACCTTCCCAACTAGGCAAAAGCATTCAAGGAAGGTTCGAAGAAGGGCATGAAAGGGGTGTGGCCTAATGAGAGTGGGTGGTGGCTTGGGGAACACCCTGCCTTAAGGGAAAAGGTGCCCTTAAGCTGCATATTTAGCCTGAAGGGAGTCAGCTGACTCTACAAGCCAATCAGGACACACCAGACTCCATAAAGGCCTTATATCCAAGCCAGTTTCTCAAGCAGTGCAGTGAGTCCTTACAGACTCTGCCTGTTGTGGTTCCTGATTTCTGACTGTCTCTGACCATGTCTGATTCTTGTCTTCTGCGATTGAGCCCCAGCTGCAACCTGCCTTGGAACTGGGCCAATGCCTGGCAGTCGCTTCAACGGACACAAAGACGGATAGGGCTCCTTAATCTTTCAACAATTTTGTGGGAAGAGGGAATTCCGGCAGGTTCACTCATGCCCATGCCAGAGTAACTCTGCTGATAACATGTTAAAGGTACATGTGCCCCATTCTCTGTTGCCTGCCCTAACTTCAATCTGTACCCATCTGAGCATCACTTTGTTCTTCCTGGTCCTCAGGGCATCCATCTCCGAAGCTCCTTTGCTTATTGGTTCCTTCTCTGCCGTCAGCACCCAACCCGTTTTGTCTTTAGATCCTGCGTGAATTTTCTGCCTCACCCAAAGGGGCCTTTCACTTCCTTTTTTGAAATCACACTGTTTGCCAAAGTTCTAGCAAAGCCGACACATTTGATGTGTCTGTCCTGGGCAGTTAGAATGTTCATGAGCACCCCATGTTAGCCTGTAGACCGGCAGCCTGCAGGTAATAGCTGGCGTTTAGCTTTCTTTCTTTTTTGGAGGGCAGGGACGCGGACTTATAAAAAATATTGGGGGGGCCCGGGAAAGCTCATGAATAATAAATAAGCTCATGAATATGCAAATAAAGTGGCGCCGCCTCCTCGTGAGCGAATAGGGGAGAGCGTGCTGCGCCTATTAAAAGTACATGTAGCCCGCAGGAGTTATTGGGGGGCGGAGCCCCCCCAAACGAATTTTTGAGGGGGCTCGGGCCCCCTCAAGCCCCATGGAGTCGGCGCCTATGTTGGAGGGTTGGGTGGGGAGGAAATTCATATAAAGGGATAGGGATGTCAAGGTTGCTAGTACCAAGCCCAGTTTTCCAGGAGGGAAGCCATGCTGAACAGATATGATTGCTTTCTGCAAGAAAATAGTAACGAGAGCTGACAAGGAGGAGACAACAGGCAATCTATCTGGCTTCCATGCCTGCAAAATACAGTTCTTGCAGCATTAGCACAATGAGACATTGACACTAGAGGTGTGTGTGTGTGTGTCCAGATGAAGCTTCACAGCTGCAAGGCCACAATACATGGAAACAAAGCAGTGTATGAGGAAAAGTGCCATCCATGCAGAGAATTCAAGTGGATTGCCATTTGGTCAAGGATTGTCTTCACTGTGCATGAGTGGTCTGAAGGAGAGAAGGCACCCCAAAAATGAACGAGTGTTGGATGGTGGCACAAAATGAGTGGAGCAAGGAGTGATGATTCTCTGACAGAGGCTGAAGCTGAAGGCGCCTGGAAAGGATAAAAACTTGAGAGCTTCTGCTCCTTGCAGAAAATTGACCATTAGGTCAGTATGAAAGTGGGTGGGGTGGGGTGGTGAGAATCTGAATATGACCACCATTCATTGCAAAGGGACGAGGGCAGACATACTGGTAAAGCTGATAAAGTGGCTGCTTTGTAAGCCCAAGACATAATGAATGACATTAGGTCAAAAATGTTTCCTTTAACCGGTCCAACCGGATGCTGGAGATGAAGCTTTCATCTTGGGCATCGAATTGTTGTGCATTTGCATGCTCTTTGGAAAGCCCGAGGGATAGAACTTGTTCCTTTTCATGGGCAGACTGCACAGCTAAATTTGGGCCAGGTAAGGGAACCAAACTCAGGTCCAAGTATAGAAAGGGCCGGTTCTACCATTTGGCAGGCAGAAGTGGCCCACCTCGATCAGCATGTAGATTTGGAGGTGCCAACAAAGCAGGGGCTGGGGAGACGGCAGCCCTTGAGATACAGTTGGACTCCCCATCACCCCCAACCAGCAGGACTGATCATCAGGGATGATGGGAGTCATAGTCCAACAACATCTTGAGGGCCACAGGTTCTCCACCTTGGTGTGAACCGGTCTTCTTGCTTGGCTGGCCAATCTCTCTGAAGCACCTTATATTGGTTAGAGATGGATAGGAGAAGACAGGGTGGATACCTGGCTAGTACCCCACATGGTCCCAAGTTCCAATTCCATTGTTAGCTTGAGTGGCACCACCTTGCAACTCAATGTTCTATGCAAATGCTGGCTCTGGATTCTTCTTTTTGAATATAAACTACTCGGCATTGTTAATTGTCACCTGAATACTGATTCGGGAACAACAAGCCTTAAATCAGCCTGTCGGGCAATTTAATAAAAAAAAACACCCATTTGTTGTGCTGGTAGAAAAAAAGAAGAAGAAGAAGGGGGGGTTGGAAAAAGAAAGCAAGAAAAAGAATTGATTTAGTCAATTCTGTTTTCGCCAAGCAAAGATGTTATTATGGGTCAATCATTCCTGTAAGTGAAAGTACGTTTGGGTGTATTCTCCGGTGACAGATGAGTAGAAAAACTCTCTTTCATGATCTTGGCCAGGATAAAAAAAAGAGAGGAAAAAAAGGCAATTTACCATCCACAGAACGATGTAATAGAACAGAATAATTCTCATAAAAATAACTCAGTGTTTGAATTTGAAGTATCGGATGAATCTGAACTGCAGTGAAATCAATTTGATAACCCATCAGAATGAGATGGTGTTTGGCTCCTGCTTACAAAGGCGTCGCGTTAACTTCTCGCTACAGGGAAACGGTGGTTATTTTCCTCCCCCCTCCCCGCCCTGCCGTAACCCCATCTCAAAGAAATGTTTATTGCTTGGCTGCTACAAAGAAGCTTCAGTTACAGCCTTATCCAAATATTAAAATCACGGATAAGGAAGAGCTGGAATCCTGCGCAGGGGAAGCAAAACAAAACAGGGGGTTTGGAATAAACATTATCAGGAGCAGAGGACAAATACAGATGATGAGATTTACATAAGGCTGGTGATGCTGTGGGAGTCAAAGGCCTTTCCGCTGCCCAGAAATGGAGGGTTCTGCCCCCGAGAGAGGCAAGCACTGCTGAACATGATCGTACGATTAAAAAACCCATTAGCCTGGACACACAAACAGAATAACCACAGGGAGCAGGTCTTGTGGGCTGGGGTGTGGCGTTTTTGAATTCTGAAGATGTGTCTCCTTGTCTGTTGTGACCACTCATCTGAGATATTGACACAACGGCAGCAAAAAAATAGTGAGAATTATTACTTACAAAACGGCTGGTCCATTGGCTCCCAGGAAAACTTCATTAGGTAATTTTTCCAGCTTGTCATTACCACTCAGATTTCTATGTTAGAAAGAAGAAATAAATAAAAGTTATGGTTACTGTTTGGTTGTTTTCATCATCAACTAGCTAGGGTTGCTTAAATGGCTAATGTTTAATTGACTAGTCAGTTGTTTTGAAAGAAAGGCTATGAACCCATCCAGGCCCTGTGACCATCATTGGGGGCCCTTTAACTTTAAGCACGAGCGCCTGAGTTTGCTTTTTTCACCTCTTCCCTCCTTTCCCCCCTTTTGTCTTGTATATTTTAGACTGTAAATCTGCTCTGGACCAGGGGCGGAGGAAGGGAGATGCAGTGGAGGTGCGGTGGGGCTGCCCCAGGTGTCACCACTGAGGGGGGTGACAAAACGCTAGGCGGCACTCACCGCAGGGCCTGCAGTGTGCCGGAGCCACACGTCTCTCCTGGGAGTGACACGGTGGCTTGGGCGCCCACAGGCTCGGCTCTGCCCCAAACGGCCCGCCCACCGCCTCCCCTTCAGCTGTAGGGTGGCTGAGTGGGAGGAGGCAGGCAGACTCCTTGGAGGCCCTGCGGAGTGTCCTACTCTGGCTTGCCCTGCCCTGTGGGCAGCTGGCCCCACCCCTGGGCGCAGGGCACGCATGCTGCCCCAGGCGCCCAATCGGCTTGCTCTGCCGCTGGCTCTGGGGCAGAACAATCCGAAATGGAGTCAGGGAGGCATGAAGTGTCAGTCCCACAGCTGGACCTCAAGCCCTGCCAGCTTGTGGCAGCCAGGGTAGAAGGTCGGGAGGGTATCCATTATGCCAGTTCCAAGGAGACATAGGTAAGGGGCCCAAGGATCAGCCCCCTAAGAGGAGCCAAAGGACTTTGGCTCCAGCTTTGGATGGGAGTTCCGATAAATAACCCTGTTGTTATGGCTTGGTGGGACATGGTGTGACTCTGCATAAAGCAATGTCCACTGTTATGATTTCACTCAACGGTTGTAGGATTTACACCCCTGCTTTGCCACCTCTAACAACACAGTGATCCTTAGCTGTGTGTAAGCTACCTGGCTTAAGACTCAATATCCTATGCAAAGAAAGAACTTAAACATGCACAAACACAGAGATTAAGCTGTATACCATGGGTGGGCAAACTAAGGCCTGTAGGCTGGATCAGGCCCAATTGCCTTCTGGGTCTGGCCCGCGGACAGTCTAGGAATCGCTGCATGGATCACCAGCGCACGTGCGTTCTTTGCCTCTCCCTTCCTCTCCCTCACACACCGGTGCCTCCTCCCTCCCTCCTCCTGGCTTCTCCCTGCCCTGCCTAGAGGAGAAAGGGGGCTGGGCTTGGTTGGTGCCAGCAACAGCAATGCTCAAGCGGCCGCCATTTTAAGCAGCCCCTCTCCGGAGCCCTTTCGCGTGCCGCTCAACATCCCTCTGCCGCTGCCGCTAGCCGCTGCCACTTGCAAGACACGGGTTAGCAGCCCCCGGGACTCTTGGTGCTCTTGCATCATTCCCCCCCCCCCAAAAAAAATATAGTCCGGCCTCCCACAAGGTCTGAGGGACAGTGGACCTGCTGAAAAAGTTTGCTGACCCCTGCTGTATATGAAGCCCGTAACCTAAAGAAATACATTGAAATAAACTGAGCACGATCCAATTACAGTTAAGCATTTTTAAGCACTGATTCCTATCAATGGGAGATGCATGTCAATGGGTGGCATTCAGCCAAGGTTTACTCAGAGTAGAAATTATTGGGCCTAGCATAAACTGCATACCCATCAACTGCCTCATAAAAACTAGGACACCCCTCTCCCTCCACCCCGTCGGAGCACAGCAGCCATTTTGGGTGCCTTGCTTCCATGTGATTTTGGGCTGAGATCTCACATGGGTCACATGACTCACATGGGATTTCCGACCCAGAAGATGGTGTCCTGGAGGGGTTGCAACTGCTGTGTGTCTAATCTGAGTTCAGCTCAGTTGGACACCACCCTCTACTTAAATCTGTTCTATGGAAAACAAAACTGTAACAGAAGTTATTTGCTGCAATATATCTCCCATGGAATGCCCTCCAAAAAGCCAAATCAGTAGAATAAAGAAATAATACACACAGATCAGACAAGATGGTCCCATTGAAGGCATGGTCTTCAATTTCGGTGAGTCCATTTTTATTTAGCCTTCTGCAATAAAGAGACAATGGCTGTTAGACTCTATTCTATTTTATTTTTTTAAAAAAATGGCAGCATTTTACTGAAACGCTTCTTAAAACAAACTCCCCCCCTTTAAAAATGAATTTGTGGTAAAGAACATTTTTTCATAAAACAACAATAGCCTTCAAACTGTGACACTCCCACAGAAAGTCAGACAGTGATAAGAATTCAGTGAGTTGCATCTACCATGTGCCACATATTCTGCAGTAAAAGGAGGGTGTCAATCAAAATGTTAGCAAAAAGATAACGGAAGGAAGAAAGTTATTTGCTTCATTTATATACCACTTTTCCGCCCAGGAATTCCAGGCGGCATACAAGGCTTAGCCCTCTCCCCATTTTATCCTCATGGCAGTGCTCTGTGGTAGGTTAGGTCGAAAGAGAGTGACTTATCTAAGATTACAAAATGAACTTCATAGCTAATTGGGGATTTGGACCTGGGGCAGCCTGAAAGACACAAAAAGAAGCGTCCCATTTTTTGCAATGTAACAGTTCTTCAAAGTTCGATTTGCTCATTTAAAGGGGGCAATCCTGCTACGCATCACTTCATTTGCAAATATTCTAATATTCTAATTGGGTTCTGCACCCCAAAATGATGCATTTGTCAAGCTGACAAGTAACTTCATTCCCTTTACATTTATAGAGCAGAATTACTACTTAAGGTTGTTTCCAGATGGCCTGCTAATTGAACATTCATTCCTGATTGGCTTGCAGGGAGTTCAGACAATATTGCGCCAAGCAAAACTTATCCCACGCTTTCCAGTGCATTTTCTGGACGCTTTCGTTATAGCAAAAACACAATTTCTCAAACAAAAAAATTGAACATTTCGCCCTAGTGCATGCACGTTTGCACACATTACTCACCAAGAGAATTACACTGAACTGCCGAATTAAGGAAAAATGCAAATTTTGAAAGATTGCTATGTTTTGGTTTGCAGATTATTTAGGAAAGTGTGAATTAAACCTGAACTGAATCAAATTCTCCATCCCTACATTGCACAAATAGCAATAGCAAACCTTGGCTACAGCTCACGGTTAATGCGGAAGGCGCTTGACCCTGGTGCTTCCCAGTTTGGATGACACAGCATGCCATGGCAGGAAAGAGAGCCAGGGAGAAGCAAAGCAGTTGCAAGGTTCAATCTGGTAGCAGGCGTGTTCCTGCAGTCTTACAAAGTCATAGTTTGGCTTACCACGTTGTGCAAACCAGACTGAAGGATGAGGCAGGAGAGCATTCTGTGCCTTATGCAATTGCGAGTTTCTTTGGAAACTCAAAGCGGTTTCCAAAATGACGAAATAACAGTCAATACTAGGGAATCTCAACAAGCTTGCAAGGAATTTTTCTCCCAGGGAACGATGATAGCTAACCTGCCTTTCCCTCTCTCCGGCTCCTCGCTTCATCCCAAACAATCTTCTGCAGTCAGTTGTATTTATCACTTCCACCCCATAATTTGCCTCCTCCCCTGCTCCTATTGTGACTCGGCAAGACTCATCCACTCTTAACCCAAAGTGGCAGGCTTGAGTGATGGGCTGACAATGAATCATTTAATTAAACTGTCAGAAAGCCTCCATGCTTGGCCTCTAATCCAGAGCGAAAGCTGCCCATTCGAGCGATACGCTTATCTAAGGTCCAAGAGGGTGTGCGAAGGTTGACATGGAAATCAATTACAGTCATGGTTGGAGAGATTACCCTTTTGACTGTGAAAGGCACGTGCCTGGTAGTGTCACATCTTTGATGCATGTCAGAGGCGATCACGGCTTACCAGGAAACCTCCCGTGATGCCTCTGGAGGTGACAAGACAAGCCAGAGAGAAATGGCTTCACAGCTAGGCTCCCTGACATGAGTGCTTGTGTGAAACCAACAGGGTGAGCAGGAGAGAGAACAAATCAAGATGTGGACCCCCTGAGGCCTAGCCTGTAGCCGTTGAGGGGAGAGTCAGACAGGGAGTCATTCGTCAGCCAGGAAGCTCCTGACAAGACTTTCCAAACAAGGTCAGAGCACTGATGATGATAATAATGAAGACTAATATTGCAGTAGTTTCTATTAGCCATTAATTAGTCATTTTAGGTAGGTGCGTTCATTGCTTTGTTTATAACTCCTGCAAAACTTGTTTAGACCATTCTTCCCTGACAAGTAATCTTAATACGTAACATTATTTTATTTAAAATTGTTAATACCGGGCAAGAGTTGCCCAAATGAAACCGGTCATTGGAAGCCTTGCTCAAGGGGTTGTGTTTGTGCAATGGGGCTTTCACCCCTCCCCCTTCAAACTGGCTTGGGGGTGTTCCAGAAACCCCCAGAACAGCTCACAGGAGGAGGAAAAGCCTAAGATTGCTGGCCTGATCTAGTGGCCAAAGAGAGCTACAAGTCTGGATGCCTTTGGATGGAATTGCAACTCAACCCTACTATGTCCTCACTAGGTGGACTCGGACAGGACACTTTCTCACAGCCTCGATCTCCCCATCTGCAACATGGGGGATAACAATACTGATTTACCTTGTTGCAAGGATGACAATAGTGCCATGCATGTGAAGCATGTTGAATGCTTAAAGGTTTTTTTTTTTACACATCCTAAGTACCCAAGCTTCTCAGAGTAAACATATAGCCTTATTGAATAGGTCTCTCTCTCTCTCTCTCTCTCTCTCTCTCTCACACACACACACACACACACACACACACAAACACTTGCTTTACTGTTTTATCTCTTCGTCAGCACATACTATGTTACAGCCATACATAAAATAATAGGAAAAAGATAGCATAGGTATAAAACAAAAACATATGATAGTAATAATAACGTATCTAAATTCTTCCAAGATTATTTAAATCCCCTATATCTTAAATTATACTTCCCTCCCGCTCTTTCCATGGTTTCCTATCTACTATCCTTTCAACTGCGTTTTCTTACTCTACTAATTTGTTTTCATTACCTTACAAAATCTCCAGTTATAACATCTACTGCTGAGTATTCAGCCCGTTATGATTGTTTTCTTGTTATAATATCCCCCCCCCAATATAATCCGTATATAATATCCAATCCTCTTTCAGTGTTGGGGCCTAACACTTCTTAGCAAGCAGGCTGCACATTGTACATTTCCCCCCTCTCGAAATTTCCCCCCTCTCGAAATTCACACGACACACCGAAGAAGGGGGAGCTCTATGAAACTGAACTACGTCAGGTTTGGTTGCCCTGTGGCCCTCCATCAGCACCAGCCAGCATGGACCAATGGTCAGGGAATGATGGGAGTTGGAGTCCAGCAGGACATGGAAGGCCACAGCCCCCCTGTCCCTGCTCTAGGTTCTTTTTATTCTTTTTCTCCACCCCATTCGTAATTGTATTTGTTGTTTAGTCGCTTAGTCGTGTCCGACTCTTTGTGACCCCATGGACCAGAGCACGCCAGGCACTCCTGTCTTCCACTGCCTCCCGCACTTTGGTCAAACTCATGCTGGTAGCTTCGAGAACACTGTCCCACCATCTCGTCCTCTGTCGTCCCCTCCTCCTTGTGCCCTCCATCTTTCCCAACATCAGGGTCTTTTCCAGGGAGTCTTCTCTTCTCATGAGGTGGCGAAAGTATTGGAGCCTCAGCTTCAGGACCTGTCCTTCCAGTGAGCACTCAGGGCTGATTTCCTTCAGAATGGATAGGTTTGTTCTTCTTGCAGTCCATGGGACTCTCAAGAGTCTCCTCCAGCACCATAATTCAAAAGCATCAATTCTTCAGCGATCAGCCTTCTTGATGGTCCAGCTCTCACTTCCATACATTACTACTGGGAAAACCATAGCTTTAACTTGTAATTGTATATGCCCCTGCAATATCTCACTGACCCTGGCTTGCCTCTTCATCTTTTTCATACAGGATTGTGGTTGGGATACTGCCTTGAAGAACTGCCAGTCATGCCACTCAGGTTACATATGGCTCAGATCTGATCTGGCAGGCTGAGGGGGCTAGGGAGGGATCTATACTGCACAGCAATTCTGCACATCCTTGGACAAAATGGCCGTCCACGAACGACCTGCATGAAAACTTCTACAAAGGCACAAACAAATGGCGACCATTGACTTGGTGATAGCAGCAATGGAATGCAGGCATCCGCTTCAAGGGGACATTTAGATATGCTCACCCCAAAAGAAAGCGAAAAAAAGAGGGAGTGTGAGGAGAAACCAGGAATGGTTCATTAGGAAACATCATTGTTCCTGCGTGACGAGAAGGCTTCTTAAGGCCTCAGCGTGGCACCGGACTGCGAAGTCGCCTGTGACAATATATTAACATTATGCACAAGCGTAGCAAATTATCAGCCTCTCTGCCCATTGCTTGTCTGAGTAATGGAATGTCTGCAGCCAGCAGGAAAGATGAAGTCATCCTGCTGTCCTCTAGAGCTCTGCTTGAATGATGTGGGGCTGCCTTGGCAAGTGTAAAAAGAGAGACTACCCTGGGCATCATTACTTTTTAAATTTGCTGCACGTTGCGATTTGAGAGAGAAGGAGAAGTTGGTGAGTGGAAAAGAAAGAAGAAATCCAGTTTGTTTGGCGTGGAGAAGGCCTGTTTTCATGTCCGTGAAACCTAATCGGCTGGAAAGTTGTTGTGGATGCAACTCCAGGGTAGTTCTTCCATTTTCCAAAAACGAAAAAACAAAAATAAAAACCCAGGATAAACTGCATGGGCTTGGGGAGAAGGAGCAACGCAGCGGAAACACAGAATCATACAATTGTAGAGCTGCAACCCCTTGCAATATAGGAACCTCAGTTAAAGGATCCATGACAGAAATACTGAAAATGCAGCAGGAAAAGAGCTGGAAGTGTGCAGTGATTTTTATATGGAATATGCATCAACCAGTCCCTTTTTATCTAGGACAGCACAGTGGTACCTCAGGTTAAGAACTTAATTTGTTCTGGAGGTCCGTTCTTAACCTGAAACTGTTCTTAACCTGAAGCATCACTTTAGCTAATGGGCCCCCCCTCTGCTGCCGTGCCGCCGGAGCACGATTTCTGCTCTCATCCTAAGCAAAGTTCTTAACCTGAGGTACTATTTCTTGGTTAGTGGAGTCTGTAACTTGAAGCGTCTGTAACCCAGGGTACCACTGTAATCATTTCCCAGGGCCAGGCTCTGCTAAAGCAGTGTTTTTAATTACTACACAGTATTGGGTAGGAGTCAGACTTCACCTTCCATGGAATGGAAAGCTTTTGATCCAGTAGACAGATCCTTTGGTCAGAGACAGATTTTCCCACCATCACGGCTCCCAGCACCAATTCCTACATTGCTCTGGAAGATCCCATGACTGTCTAGAACAGTTACAGATAGGTAGCCGTGTTGGTCTGCCATAGTCAAAACAAAAAAAAAATCCTTCCAGTAGCACCTTAAAGACCAACTAAGTTAGTTAGACTGGAAAGAGAAGCTGCTGAATTGCAACTCATTACCAAACTTAAAACCATGGAGAGACCTGGTCTGAACAAAGACATCGGATTCTTATCTCATTATACATGACAAAGCCATTTTTCACCTTCTCACCCCTTGCTTTTTCCTGTAAGACCTATTGCAGTCGTTAAGAGTCGTCAACAGGCTCATCACAGCTATCTGCCAATCATCCATTCCCACCACCCTTCTGAGTAATACCCCTCCCCACCTTCTCACTATATAGAAGGATCTGGCAACTTCTGTTTCAGTGTATCTGAAGAAGTGTGCATGCACACGAAAGCTCATACCAAGAACTAACTTAGTTGGTCTTTAAGGTGCTACTGGAAGGAATTTTGTTTTGTTTTGTCTAGAACAGTGTTAGTAGCCACTGTGCTATAGTGGTTAGAGTGTCAAACTAGGGCCTGGGAGACCAGGGTTCAAATCCCCACTTAGCCATTGTCAGGGAACTGCCATCGGAGCCTAGAGTGGAGGTAAGGCTCCCCAACGATGCAGGAGAAGGGACCAGCAGGGGGAGAGAGAACACTTCCTTTGAGGAAGGTAATAGGAGTGACACCAGGAAGCAAGGGGGAACTGAGGAGAGAGGGCTCCAAGACTCTTCCACAGAGACCAGCGGGGAGAGCCCAGGACCTCCGTTGGGCACGCCCACTCTGCGCAGGAGACTTCCACGCAGGGAGGCTAGGAGGAGATTTGGTGTCAAAGAGTTTCTATGTTGGAAGAAGTTCAGGAAACGCCCACTGACGGATTCTGCCAGCGACTGACACAGCCATGGAGAAAGGGCTGTCCAGCCAGGGAAAGGTTTAGCCAGGCTACGTTGCCTAGAACAGTAGCACCCTTTACGCACAAGCAACCCCCAACTCCCTTTACAGCCATGAAGCTCATTGGGTGACCTTGGGCCAGTCACTGCCTCTCAGCTTAACCGACCTTCCAGGGTTGTTGTGGGGATTGAACGAGGAGGGGGAGAAAAAAGGTGGGAAATAAATGCAATGCAATAAAATAAAATAAGTTCTGGAGGCTAAAGAGGGAGGGGGAAATCATAAAAGGTCACCTCCCCAATCCCCAACACCACTCACTAGCAGGAGTGAAGGATCCAACCCAATATTAGTTTGTTTACATGAGCATCAAAACCCTTGTTTAAAGTTGGAAGTAGGTTAACATGAGCACATACATGGGCAAAAATAAAATAAATCCTATTGACCAGAGAGTACTTACATATCAACACGTTCAGAACTGAGCCCCAGGAAAGAATTTCTTTCAATCTTGTGTATGTTTATGTTGTCTTGGACGTCACTGAGATTTAAAGAAAAAATACATTTCAAAGAAGGAAATTAAAACGCGCCCTTTTGATGCGTTGTTGGCATACAAGGCATCAAATTTTCCTTGGTCTGGAAGATTTCTAATCCGCCTTTCAGTGCTAAGAGCAAAATAAAATCTAATAAAGTCAAATACTGATACATCTGCAAATAAGAAAGAAACAAATTATCTTCAATGTTTTGACGACGTTGAATGTTTACTGCGAGCTGCTTTGGGAACAGTTCATTGTGGAAAAGGAGCACATAAGTAAACTCAGATCAATCACTACTGCCCTCCCATTGCAATTGCAGCAAGGGGAGCAGGAGCGGTGTTGCTATGGTCCAGCCATTGCCATATGGGTGGGGGCACCACCCCAAAGGACCCCTGAATCTTGTTGGGATGTTCCGTTCCACCTTAAGGAACAGGCATGATTGTTGTGTGTCACATGTCTGTTTACACTCCAGCACAGCTTGCTGGGAACTTCCATTTGTGTATAGCTTTACCCTGTTTTGCTTTGGACACGAAGGAGAGCAGACATGTTTCCTTTTGTCTTGATCTACACTGAATAAACCTGCTTGTAAATATGTTCACACAGCCTCTCGTGCCACTTCTGTTTGTGCAGCGTTTGCTCTGCTGAATAGCGTGCTCAGTCTTCTAAAGCCTGGAGCCGCAGATTTATGCTGTACCAAGGACCAGAGTTCTTGGGAGAAAAGCAATGACAAACCTAGACAGCATCCTAAAAAGCAGAGACATCACCTTGCTGACAAAGGTCCATATAGTTAAAGCTATTGTTTTCCCAGTAGTGATGTATGGAAATGAGAGCTGGACCATAAAGAAGGCTGATCGCCGAAGAATTGATGCTTTTGAATTATGGTGCTGGAGGAGACTCTTGAGAGTCCCATGGACTGCAAGAAGATCAAACCTATCCACTCTTAAGGAAATCAGCCCTGTGTGCTCACTGGAAGGACAGATCCTGAAGCTGAGGCTCCAATACTTTGGCCACCTCATGAGAAGAGAAGACTCCCTGGAAAAGACCCTGATGTTGGGAAAGATGGAGGGCACAAGGAGAAGGGACGACAGAGGACGAGATGGTTGGACAGTGTTCTTGAAGCTACCAGCATGAGTTTGACCAAGCTGCGGGAGGCAGTGGAAGACAGGAGTGCCTGGCGTGCTCTGGTCCATGGGGTCACGAAGAGTCGGACACGACTAAACGACTAAACAACAACAACAACAACAAAGGACCGGAGTTCACCTGGCACACTGGCCGGTGGGCTGGCGCCAGCTGGGGGCCTGCGAATTGCCCCCGTTTCCTTGGATGCATGCCAACAAATCTGACCTCAAGGATCATGCATTCTTATGGATATACAATATGGATTTGCAGCCAGCTTCAGGTGTTTTCTCTCCACTCAATCTCAGTCACACGTAGAGAAGCAAAGGGGCTTGCATCACCCCTCCCCAGCACTCTTGGGGAGGCTTGCCATACATCAGGTGTAAAAATGGTGTGTGTGGTGGTGGGGAGGGATATTTTGCCAAATTGGCAAAATGTCAGGGAAAACCCAGATGTAATGCAGTAAACATTCAAAGGCATCAAAACGTTGAAGATCATTGGTTTCTTTTTTACTTGCAGATGTTTCAGTGCAAAATTCAGTGTGGAAATCTGGTTGAGATTTCCTTCAACGAACTAGAACTGATTCAGCTCTTGGCATGGACGAATTCAGTTTTAAATAATTCCGCCTCCCTCTTTCTTTCATGGGCAACCCAAGAAAAATGGCCAAAGCCCCAAAATATTAGAATAATCCAGTAAAAAACTTACAGCACAAACTTCACGGAAGAATGTATCTGGTTAACGACGGGTAAATACATGATTGCAGTGTTTGATAGCAACCTAGAGGGAATAAGTAGAGGTTGTTAGCACATCTCTGAGGAAAACTACAGAATAACAAATGACTGAAATGAAATTGAGGAAGAAAAGTTGCAGGCAAATTTTTGCTATCCTCATTTTGATATTCAATATTTAGTTGTTGTCCGTCCCCCCCGCAACATTCCAAATTATGGGTAGTATTCGATGTCTTCTATAACTCTGCTTACATGTTTTTCATGTGCAGGACATATTGCAGACATATTGCTTCATTTCCAATTGGTTCATGTCCTGTAGCTTCCTGCTGAAATCCTGCATTGTTGTTGTTGTACCACACTTTTGCTGCACACAAGAGCACCTCTCCATACGACAATAATGCAATAATGCTGGGGAAGCATCACCAGAGCAACTAATAACATGGAATGATGTGCAGGTGATCCAGTATAAATCCACCATTAATGTACTACTATTGATATGTTGCTTTAGGCCCAAGAGACTACGGCCCTGCGGGATTTGACATCTTTCTGCAGGGCCTGCAAGATGGTACTGGCCTTCAGCTTAGACTCACTCCTACCCCTTATATGGGATTTGGTATATAAATTTTCCCTTGGCTTGCTTTCTGCCCCTTGGAGGACCAGCATGGATAGCTAGCTCGGGTGAATATCTGATGTTTCCTCCCTTTATGGTCTTGATTTATGGGCTACTACTAAAATGAGGCTGTATTTTAACCTGTATTTTAAGCTATATTTTAATTAACTGGTTGTTGTTATTGTTGTTGTTTTTCTATTACATTTTATTGTAATTCATATTTGGTGTTAGACGCCCTGAGCCTGGCTCTGGCCAGGGAGGGCGGGGTATAAATAAATGTTGTTGTTGTTGTTAAAAACCCCCACAACCCATGCCAGTTTGGAGGCATCATATTAAAACTACAGTTCCCAAGGTTCCCCAGGGAGACAAAATTATGATAAACCCAGTTTAAGCCTTAGAAGAGGAAACTGCAACCATCATTTCAGAACTTCTGCTGTGCTTTACATACCAAAAGAAAAGCATCATAACAATTTAAGAAACATGCAATGCCCTTAGGCACCTAGAAGACTATTCAATATTGGAAGAAGGTAAGAAGATTCTGACTGCAGCAGGGCTCTTCCCATTTGTGGTTCCTAGCAATTGGCTGACAGTGGAGATAAAACAAGGCTACGCCAAGCAAGGGTCAAGAACGGCAGCGATAGAATAAAGGATGCATCATCTTCACGGCTGTGCTATGGCTATGATTCCAAAGTGCTTCTGACAGCACAAGGAAGAATCATCAGGTATTCATGTACAAATGTGAGCATCGATGCAATGCGTCAGCCAGTCCTAATGGCATTCTAGCTGACATCGGGATGAATGGAGCCGCCATTTCCATTCCAAAGTGAGCCCTCAAATAAGGTCTCTGTAATGCACGTTATCAAAATGTTCCGTAGAGTTTCAGCTGGGCCATTCACAGTCTAATAAGGGTTCATTATCCTTCACATTTCCTATTCTCCATGCATTTGCTTCACAGGAAAGCAGCATGCAAAGGAGGGATTGAGATTGCCGTTGCTGCGAGCGTGCGAAAGCTGACGAATCTCTGCAATCGTTATATATCAGAAGGAACAGCGATGGGCCTGATGTCTCATTCAGTATGGCTCGTCTTCCTGACTGTGCTTCATGGGAGCAAAGGCATCACAGGAATCTTTCACTCCACATGGGGCTCAAACCCACGACTCCGAGATTAAGAGTCTCATGCTCTACTGACTGAGCCAAATGGCTGGAGCGGGATCGAACTTTGCCATGTGGCTGCTGCACCTTTACAGCTTTCTTTTATAAAATTATCTGGCCGATTGGCTCTTCTGGCTCCTTAGCAGGACCTCTAGATAGTGCACAAAACAAATGAAATACAGTGGTACCTCTGGTTACATACACTTCAGGTTACAGACACTTCAGGTTACAGACTCCGCTAACCCAGAAATAGTACCTCGGGTTAAGAACTTTGCTTCAGGATGAGAACAGAAATCGTGTGGAGGCGACGCTGCAGCAGCAGGAGGCCCCATTAGCTAAAGTGGTGCTTCAGGTTAAGAACAGTTTCAGGTTAAGTACGGACCTCCGGAACGAATTAAGTACTTAACCTGAGGTACCACTGTACTGTGAAAATCCCTGAAACGAGAAGTAATCAGCTAGAAATATTATCTTATAGAAATAGACTAAATAATAAAAATCAAAAAGTTTAAAGAAAAAATAGAAAAACCTAGATAGTGGCAGGGATGAAACAGGGGCAGGCCTACTTAGTTATTTTAAAGGGTGAGCCCAGTCTACATGGTTATTATCATCTTGCGGTTTCAGTATTCATCTCGTCTTCTACTTGCGCTACGTTCTTATTGAACCTTTGACTTGCATTAGGCGTATGTTTCCCTTTTCCTTGACAATCTCTCAGAATGACGCCTTGTAACAGACTAACATGGCTTCCTCTGCATGTCAGCTTTGGTATATTAAGTGCAACCTGACTTATCGTGTCTTTAAACATTCTACGGTTTTTTGGGGAAAAGAGCTACAAGATTTTTCACTAAGGCCGGGGGGTTTGATCATATGAAGCCTCTGTTTGTCAGCTTCACCAGCTCCCACTTGAAGGCCAATTTAAAGTGCTGGCTTTAATCTTTAAAAAGACCTAAACAGCTCAGGGCCTGGTTGCCTCCTTTTTGTTAGAGCGTTTATTAATTTCCCAATAAAAAACATCCAATTAACATATCAAATCATAATTCCAAAAAAAAAAGAAAAGAAAAAAAAGATCCAATTGTCTTCCGTATTATAATTCTGATTTTACGGCTTCCCACAGTCTGAACGTCAAAGCATCTCCAAATCTCAGTCCTGCCTCTCACGATGTTTCCATATTTCCATATCCGATTTTCCATATCCGATTGCCTTCTTTTCTATCCGGATATTAAGATCCTCTTTGGAAGACTTGCTCTAGTTCTCTCTGCCAAGTGAGGTTCATAAGCCCTGCTGGATCAGGCCAAAGACCTATCTAGTCCAGCATCCTGTTCTCACAGTGGCCAACTAGTTGCCAATGGGAATTCCATGGACAGGACCTGCAACAACAGAGCTTCACCTACTTGTGATTTCCATCAGCTGGCAATCAGAGTGGAGGCAGAACTCCGTTATCATAGCTAGTAGCAAATAGGGTTGTCAAAAGATTCCACCCAAAATAGAAACAAGTGGATATTGACAATGTCCACTTATTTGTCCCGTGTCCAGAACAGAAATCAATCCAGCAAATGTGATCAGTAGATCAGCATTTGCTGGCATCGTTGCTTTCCGTCTGCAAATCATATGTAAGTGATTATGTTTCTTTCCCCATTTTCATTGTGTTTTCTTCATCCTGATATGAATGGAATAATGCCATTTACAGAATTTACTGACACTATGTTATGTACGGTAATTAGGCGATTATGTAATTTTGCTGCAGTAAGATGAAAAATGTAGTTTTGGGTGGAAGATGAACTGCAGCAGAACAGAAACAATGATGCATGACTTTTTGGTAGTGGCACCACCGTTATGGAATAGTCTTCTCAGGGATGCTCACTTGGTACTATTTTTGTGGCCTTTTCTGCACCAGGTGAATAATTTCTGTTCATGTTGTTGTTTAGTCATTTAGTTGTGTCCGACTCTTCATGACCCAATGGACCAGAGCACGCCAGGCACCCCTGTCTTCCACTGCCTCCCACAGTTTGGTCAAACTTATGCTGGTAGCTTCAAGAACACTGTCCAACCATCTCGTCCTCTGTCGTCAAAGTATGGCCAAAGTATTGGAGCCTCAGCTTCAGGATCTGTCCTTCCAGTGAGCACTCAGGGCTGATTTCCTTAGGAATGGATAGGTTTGATCTTCTTGCAGTCCATGGGACTCTCAAGAGTCTCCTCCAGCACCATAATTCAAAAGCATCAATTCTTCGGCGATCAGCCTTCTTTATGGTCCAGCTCTCACTTCCATACATCACTACTGGATTTCTGTTCATGAAAGCCTTCTAAACAACTTAAGTAACATGGCTAGGCTTCTCAGTTTTTTAAAAAAATGTGTGGTGTGTTTACATATAGGTTTTCTAACACACTTGTTTCTAAGGGCAGCACAGGGCAGGCCACTGCAGAGGAAACGTACACAGCATATGTCAGGCAGAAGGGCCATAACTCAGCAATAGAGATTCTGCCTTGCATGCAGAAGGTCTCAGGCCACTGAACCAGATGGGCCAAGGATCTGATTTCGGTATGAGGCTCTGTTCCAGAGCCTTTTCAGTAAAGTGGGCTGGAGCAGGCATGGCCAAACTTGGCCCTCCAGCTGTTTTGGGACTACAACTCCCATCATCCCTAGCTAACAGGACCAGTGGTCAGGGATGATGGGAATTGTAGTCCCAAAACAGCTGGAGGGCCAAGTTTGGCCATGCCTGGGCTAGAGGAACAGAGAAAATTGTTTAGAGAGTGATTCTTAGCAAGAGATACAGTCATTGTTGACTTCTGTCGAGAGACAATGCAGCACGCCTCCGGGGCGAAGTCGAACCACTGGGTTAGCAGCACCAAAGTGATCCCCCGGGGCACAAGCCTATGCAATGTGTATGGAGGTCTTGGGCTGCCCAGATGACAAGACCCCCCCCCTCCCTAGCCTCACTGATGTGGTCCAAAGGAAGGCAGAGCAATATGTTTGGCAGCAGCTTGGCTGCAGGAATTGCTGGAAGGGTTTACTCTTTAGCCTTTTATTCTCCCGAAGATATCCCACAAGGAGATTTAGGGTCAGAGTTTTCCTTCTCCTAGATGGGCTACCTTCCCAGGTTGACAAGCCCCATCTGCCCCTCACTCCCCTCTACAGCTTATGCAGAAACCGTCGTCTGGACCGATGGACCCACTACAGTGGTACCTCGGGTTAAGAACTTAATTCGTTCTGGAGGTCCGTTCTTAACCTGAAACTGTTCTTAACCTGAAGCACCACTTTAGCTAATGGGGCCTCCTGCTGCCACCGTGCCACC